CCCCAAAACCCCAAAACCCCAAAACCCCAAAACCCCTCACCAAATAATTATGCATAAAAAATATGTAGAAATGGAGTTTATCAAGTAGTAAAAAGCATCATAAAGAGCTAACTCTTTTATTGACTCATGAAGCCAAGCTGGAGAAACGATGACTCGTAAAAAGCTTCTCAGAAGGCAATGCTCACCTTCAGAGCATATTCAAGACTCTATTGCTCTATCGTTTGTTTTCTGTTGTAACAGATGCATTTTATTATAAGCCAAGGATACCACAGAATCTGGCTAAATTTCCACCCTCTGCCACAAAACTATCATATCTTGTGCATTATAACCATAACCCAAGCAAATGTAATCTTAATATTTCCATTAGCGTACCTTATTCACCCTACTATATTAAATTATTTAATAAAATGTTTGCACCATGGTATAATAAGCCGAGGAAATATATAAAAATTGGTCCATAAAATTGCATGATTCCTACTCTCATAGCCCTCTTTCCGGTCAAGAAGGGGATTTAGTAAAAGAAATCACTAATCAAAGTTTGCCAGTTAGGTTTAAGGAAATTATGAAAATTTAGAATTATGAGCAACCATCGCTGAAAAAGTACTAGGCTCCGCTCTTAGTCTGAAATTACTGATCTCTGTCGGCTCAAAATCTCCACTGTTGTTCTGGAGAGGGTGCCTATCCTTCACCGTTGGGGATAAGGATTCCTTGTTGTCTTCTTCTAAAATATGTGAGAAAATAGAAAAAATAATTTAGGGGTAGCTACATAGGAGAATACTTTGATTTTCTAAATAATGTGCTAGACTACCTTGATTTTTAGAGGATTCCCAAGCTGAGAGAACCTTCTTAAGAATCCTTGGAGAGTCGAAGCCTCTAGGACTTTTTCCAATAGCATCTTGAGCCTTCTTTATAATACTCATATATCTCTGCTGAACTTTGTCAAACTCTTTTCCATCTGGACTTCAGGGAGATATCAGTGTATACTGAGGATCAGGGCTTTTTGCAGTAATCCTAGGACTGATATTTTTCTTCAAAGAAGGACTTCTGAATCTGTTTGCAGTTCTACTAAATGAGCTAAAGAAGTCTTATTAAATCTGAAAATTGAAAAGTATCCCAAATACTATGAAATATAAAATTACACTGATTTCTGATTCCTGGTAATTCTGTAAACTTTATTTCCGTTTTACAACAAATTTATGATTCTTTAGCTTAGGGTTTAAAAATCTTTGCTTTCTCTTCTTTTTCAAGAGCCTGTTAATATAGTTCAATTTATGCTAGATATTAGATTAAATAAGTTTATGACGATTCATATAAATAGGCCTTGATTAAATAGTGAGCAATAGAACAATCCCAGGATATGGATGATGCAGCCCAGTATCCGTGGGGTTTGACTTAAAAAACACCAGAAGTAATAGTGCCACTAAGATAAGAATAAATATCAAAATTTTCAGATAAATTACTTACATTTAAATCTGGTATTTTAGTTTGAAGTATAGTCCTCTATGTACAGTTAAAATATGAGCAAACTTCATGGAAAATAACTAGCGGGGAGATGTAGAAGGATGTATGCTAATAACCCGATATTTTCGAGTTATTTCCAGCACTAAGTCTTACATTGATTGCTTTTAACCTTAACACTAGCCCTTGCTTTGATCTCAAAGTGTCCATATTATGAATTTTATATTATTTCGAAATAATTCAATCTAAAACTAGATTGCTGGGGTTTTGGGGTTTTGGGGTTTTGGGG